AAAAAGCAGAATTTTTAAACTATAAACGACAGAATAAAGAACTACAAATTTATCAGTAATTTCAATAAATATAAATAAGCCGCTAACATGTGAGATGCAGGTAGGTATAAGCTTTGTCTGAACACCTCTGTACAACAAATGGAGGAACTTTCCTTGTTTGTGCAATGAGAGAAGCATTTTCACTGAGATCATACAAACACCTTTTCAGTTAGGTGATTTCTACTGCATGAAAACATATATCCCATTTTCTTAAACAATTATATATAGCAAACTAAGTATGCTTAAACTTTGATATACTATTGGTTTATAACATTATATAGATTTCAAGCATATAGCATTATAAATCAACATCTGTATATGTCTACCAGTAAAAGTAGAATTCTATACTTGATGACTTTATATTTAAACACATAATCCACTCTACTTATACTCCCTTCCTCTCTGGTAAACACTAATTTGGTCTTATGACCTAAAATTAAATTTGCTTTATTTACTTCTGCTATTTATGTACCATGTATGAGTAAAACCATAGTTTTTATATTTCTCTGACTTATTTCTCTAAACACAATGTCCTCTAAGCCCATATATTATTGAAAATGGCAGGATTTCATTTTTTGAGAGCCAAATAGCATCCCATTGTGTATATAACACATTTTGTTTATCCATTCACTTTTTAATGAGTACTTAGGTTGTTTTCGATCAATTTTGAAAAATTGGGGGTATGGAATTACCATGTTATCAGATACTTGGTGGTTTGGGGGGGTTGGGGAGCTTCAGAACATTGTCCATGAGACCAATCTTATTCACTAAATGCTAAAAAGCATTTCCTTTAGGAATACCAGTATAATGACTGGCACAATTATAATGCTGGAATTCCTATCTTTTATTTGAATGACACCACCATTTCTGTCTCTCGACTATTTCAGCTAGCTCAAACTTTGTTCTTTGGATTCTGTCCATTAGACCAAATAAAAATTTCAGGTTATATTTCAGTTTGAAGGTTGTTTCCCCTTGTATAGATACTTGGATATTCTACTCTCTAGCTATAGGAATCCAGATGTTTAACTATTCTACACCTAACTTAACATATACAAACCAAGTATTTAATGCCTGTATTAAATTAATGCCAAGGAATCAAAAATAAAAGACTGGAGAGACAAATTTAGAAGATGATAAAAAAAAAAAAGTCATTCAAAAGACTATCATGTTAAATACCTTGGTACCAAATGTAGAGTGATCTTACATGGGGAAAAAAAGGCTAAGTATAAAACAAGCATTTTAAACGTATTTTCTTTTAGGCTGTTGACTGTTTTAATACATAGAAGTTTCAAATAGAAGTTTCTATTTGCAACACTAGAAACACTGAACACTGTCATATGAATGAGTTTTTTTTAAAGTTTATCTCATTTAAATTTCATCTTGAAGAAAGAAGAGTTAATCAATGCCCATCAGTGGTGTTAAGGAATAACAGAGCCAAATAACCAAACCAGAGTCAACAACACGGAATCAATAGATCAAATCTTTTTTATTATTTTATTTTTACAAGGTTGTTCGCAATAACTTATTACATTCAATATTCCAACAACAATCACACCACCATTACACCCTACCCACCACCATTATTTCTAATTTTCCCAACCACCACCCAAACCTGCCCCAATAGCAGGCCCTAAATAATTTATTTCATATTGCTTTTTATAAATAATTTGCTAAAAATGATCCAAAAAGGAGAAGGAATCTTAAGTCAACAAACGAAAAATGGCAGACTTGGGAGAGGGAATTGGGGAACACTGGTGGAGGAAGATGAACTTGCTGACGGGACCAGTGAAGGAATATTTTATGTATAAAACCCAAACAGGGGGGCTTGAGCAATAGTACAGTGGGTAAGGCATTTGCCTTGCACACGGACAACCCGGGTTTAATTCCCAGCATCCCATATGGTCCCCTGAGCACTACCAGCAGTAATTCCTGAGTGCAGAGCCATGAGTAACCCCTGTGCATTGCTGGGTGTGACCCAAAAAGAAAAAAAAACCCAAACAGGAACCAACTTTGTAAATCATGACGCTTCCACTAAAATGAAGAGAGAGACAGACACAGACAGACAGACAGACAGAAAAAGAAGTCAATTAATCAGTCCTTTATTCTTAGTCCGACATCCTAGCAGATATCCCCTTTTTTTTAACACAGCTAAACCACCACTGTACATTCACACACCCAATTTAGTAAACACATTGCAACTAGCTGGTCCTTACTCCCATAGTAATCTAGTCTCTGAAGCAGAATAGTTTGCTTGCCTGTCCACCCTGGACAAAACCTTGATTATAACCTCTCTCTCCAGCATGATATCTTCCTTCTCAATCCCTCTCATAGAATCTGTATAAAAGAAAACACCTTTTTGTTTAGGTAGTTGGTTGTTCTTGGCCTTTCTCATTTCGGCTATGTTTCTTTCACTTCCTCCACTTTCTAGAAACCTCCCGCCAATTCTTCCCCATTAAAAATACCATCTGTTTTCATTCCCATTAATTCTCCTCCTGTGCCTGATACTACCAATAAATCTCCTGACCTATCTTCCTAGATTATTCCTTTCCTCAATTAAATGCTTTGCCCCAAGGAGAGTCATTTACTACCTCTGCATCTTAACTGCTCCTCTGTAAAATAAAGTAACTAAAATATAGGTTAAGATAGTTTCCATTTTAACTTTTGATCAAAATATTTAACTATCACTCCCCGACACACACATACACCTTTTTTTCCTATTTATAACAAGTTCTCAGTTTCTAACCAGTTCCTACCTAACTTGTCTTCAAATATTTCCTTTTTACTTCCTAATAATTTCCAAAGGCCTAACCACATTTCTTCATCATATTCATCATTATTCTTAGACTAAGGCAAGTGGTTTTTGCCATTATTTCTTTTGTTGTTTTTTTTTTTGTGGGGGAGGGGCAAACCCAGCAATGCTCAGGGGTTACTTCTGGTGGTACTTGAGGCCAGAGATTGAACCTGGTTTGGCCACATGCAAGGCAAGTACCTTACCCACTGTACTATTGCTCCAGCCCCTCATTATTTCTGAGGCTAAGGCAAGATTAGCCCACATCATAATGCTGTTCCAAGTGAAAGCATGTGTGTGTTTTTAGATTTTTCCAATGCAATCTCATTTGGACATTTCTTTATCATGAGGAAGATATTCTGACCTGAGAAATCTGTAAAAGAGAGTTTTGCTAATGCCCATGACAAACAGCTACTGACATGATATCTGCTTTGATTTTCTCTGACACACTCCTGAGTCAGTTTTTCATCCTAGTTTTTGTGTGACGTCCTCACTTCTAACTTTCTTTTGTCGCATAACTGCCAGTTTTCATCAGGTAACAAAAAAGTAAGAGTGACAAGGAAAAATCAATTTAGCTTAGCTCACTGGCTCCTTACAAGTAAGAAAATACAGTTTGTTCTTTTGGACCTTCGATTAATAGCATTCTTTTAAAATTCTGTACACAGGAATCATTTTAATGCTTTTATTTAGCACAGATTCCAGGTGATTAAGAAATACACTGGACATCCCTTTTGTTGAAAACAAGACCTTCTTCAATAGCTGATAAATCAGTTTGTAAATTGTGTCCAATGGAGGGGGAAAAAAGGAGAAAATCTACCTCCTACTGCCTTTTTTATAGGCATATAAAAGACATTGCTGAACTCAGACACTGGAACACAAACTTACATCATAATTCATCAGAAATACTATACTTTTCAGATTAGACTGTAAGTGGGTTCCTTAACTACAGTATTTGCTTTTAAAGAGACCTGGGCTTCATATTATTTAAAGCTGGATTATAAACTCTGCATTGTAAAACTGAAGTGTGTCCTGTCTACATACCTCTACTCAAGTTTGACTTCATCACCCCTGAGTCATGGAGTCCTACAGCTCTCCAACCCCCACCACTCCTAAGTCAAGGTCTCTCGTATCTTTCCATAAATATTTGTGGCAGAAAAGAAGGAACAGGAAAATATGCATGGGAGCCAACTAGAATATAAGTATGGCCTTTGAGTCTTGCTTGAGTCTCTCTTTCATCTGTTCATCACCATATGACACTGGCCACTGGCCACTTCATGTAACCACAATTTCTTCATGTCTCCTGATACTAAAATTCTTTGAGCTTCCTGTAGAGCCCAAAACAATAAATTTCATACTCCAGAGACATACCGCATTTGGTATGGAGGACTGGGCAAGGATTGTTCCTGTCTGGTAGAATAAACGGGTATGGATTTGAGCTCATAGACCTCCTTTGGTAATGCAGTACAACCTGTCCAATGCACTATGGCTCAGGATACTTTGGTCTTGAGGTGGCCCACCATGCTCTAAATTAGGTCGTACAAAATATAACTACGTCCCTAAATTCCTTGGCTACTGATCAACATACTGTTCCATTTCTCACTGTCAGACTTCTATGGAAATATCGACCTTCTTCTGAAGAGAGAAATTGAATTCGCCACAGTATGCTAGAAAAACAAGCTGTACTGGAAAGGCACTGAGTCAAATAAACATGTGTTATAAAGTAGCCCTGAATTGTCACAAGACCTTGGAATGCTAGCTCTGCTCATTAAGTCTCAATGCAAACAACAGGTAAGGGGTCTACTTTGAATTCCATGCAGTGTTATGGGAGGTAAGGAAACTTTATACACCGGAGCTAAAATCACTGTAGCTTCTGGAGAGAGTTCTACAGCTCTACAGCTTGACTGACCTGGGGAAGGGTTTCTGTCATAGGTTTCTGTCACTAGCCAGGCATGGATGCAAGCATCCCACTAGCTCCAAGGCAGCCGCCAAGGTGTACCTGAGGCCCCAACCCCGGAGTTTTCTGGAGTTTTCTGGAGCAGGGCTGTGGGCTGGAGTAAGGCTTGCTCTGTGTAAGGAGAGAAAGTCAGTCCTGACCCCACCCAGGTCTCCCAGGTTCTGCAGGTTTGTCATCATCATCATTTATGAAAAAGGAATTTCAGGAGAAGACAAATAGTGAAATAAAATAATTTTATTGAGGAAATATGAGGAGAAGGAGTGAGGGAGAAGAAGAAAAGCACATTCCAAAGAGAATACAACTGTCTTTTCCAGAGAAGAGAGAGCCCCATCAAGTAAAAAGAAGTACACATCCCAAGTTGAAATTTGGGAACTCAGAATGGAGATGCGCCCTGGCTGCTTTTGCAAAGTTGGTTTTACAGGCATTTTCCCCAGCGGAGACCACCTCTTTCCCCAGAAGAGACCAACGGTCTTTTCCCAGGCTGTGTCTAGGGGAAAGGACTTGGAATTTTTGGTCTTCTCTGTTTTTGTTTTGCTTTTGGTTATTCTGCTTAGGGCTGACTCTTAGCTTTGCAGCCAGGGCTCACTCCTGGCAGGTTCCGGGATGGGGTGACACCTGGAGCGCACCCAGCCCACTGTGCTCCCTCTCACAGCGTTCCATTCCTCTGGAGCTCCTCCTCTCCCAGGGGCTCGAGCCTTTCCTGATCAGGCCTCAGGTTCAGCTTCCACAAAGGGATTCTGGCCATGATGCCCCTGGGTTACTCTAGGTAGGGCTGGTGACAAAGCAATGTCCTGAGATCACCCCCTATTTTCATTGCCTCCCAAGGAACTCACTGCTAAGAGCTCTCGTGGGTTTGGGAGCTTCAGAGCTGCCTCAACAACTGTGAACAACCTCCACCCAGTCATCCTTCAATGCTCATGGGGACTCTTTTTCACAGGCTAGGTTTTTGCTCTATTTCTTTCCTTGGCAACTGACCCACTCTCAATCAGTAACTTCATTTCAGTTCTACAAAACTGGTGTGTGTGTGCGTGTGTGTGTGCATATGTTGTGTGTGTGTCTGCATGCGTGTGTGCATGTGTGTGTGCGTGTACGTGTGTGCACACGTGTGCGTTTGCATGCGTGTGGGCGTGTGTGCATTTGCATGTGTGCGGGCATGCGTGCATATGGGTGACAGAAACATAAGTCAAGAAACCTTCATGATACCCTGCCTTTCCTTCTGTGTGCCATGGTGCAACGTCGGGAGGAAGAACAGCACAAAGTCCAGAATCCCGCAGAGGCAGTGTCTGTGAAGCAAAGGGCTTCTCTTCCTGGGATGAGGAAACTGCATGCAGCCCTCTCCTCTCTGACTACAAGGATAATGCAGGGCCCACCTGCTCTGAGGCATTTTCTCATGCACAAGTCACAGCTTCTTTGGGAAATACTTCAAAGGCACAGCTCAACCGAAGGCTGCCAGAAAGTCAGCCCCTGACTAACGTGAACATGCCAGGCGGGACCGCGGGGTCATTTCAATTCAGGCAGATCCTCTGTTTCTGGGTCATGGTACCCAAAGCCCCTAAGCGCCTCACCCCCCAAGGAAAGGGGGTGGGAAAGAGGTCAGTGGCCCAACTACACGCGACATTTGGAAGCACAGACTTTCCCGAATTTCTGGAAAAAATCTTCTTGGGCCTGGGTCAGGGCATCCTCATCAATGTACACGACCGGCCGCTTGGCCATGACGAAGTACTGCACCTTCCTCAGCTGCCAGCCCAGCACGTACAGGAGCCAGCCACACACGGCCGCCGTGGAGCGACCCACCCCGGCATTGCAGTGCACGTACACTGTGTGTCCATTCTCCAGCAGTCCGTGCAAGAGACACACCGCCTGGGGCAGCATCTGCACTCGACCTGGAGAGGGAGAAACACAGGGGACGAGTGAATGAGGGCAGGGTCTCAGGCTCACAATTTCCGAGAGGCAGGGGTAGAACCATTTGCCTTTGGCTTGCAAAGCAAGTGAGAACCATTTCCACAGGACAGGAGAGGAGGAAGGGCACTGCAGCGGGACTGAGGGTGCCACAGACCCATCACATGGACCAGCTCCTTCTGCGTGGGTGCTCATCTCCCCAGAAACAAAAGTCAGCGAGTGCTCACCATCAGGAGGACGGGTTGTTGTAATCAAAAGGGTCCAGTCAGGGGCTGGAGTGATAGCCCTGTGGGTAGCGTTTTGCCTTGCACCCCACCGACCCGGGTTCGATTCCCAGCATCCCATATGGTCCCCTGAGCACCACTAGGGGTAATTCCTAAGTGCAGAGCCAGAAGTAACCCCTGTGCATTGCCAGAAGTGACCCAAAAGCCAAAAAAAAAAAAAAAAGGTCCAGGCAGAGGTTTTCAAAAGGCGCCTGACTGACAGATGCTGTCACCTGAGTTTCCTTTCATCCAAGAGGATCTTCCGGGGGAATGGAAAGCACAGACTTAACCTTATTGCAAGGAGTCCATCTTACTCACACACCACATGTGAACTTCCAGCGCCGGCCCCGCGGAACAGAGCTCTTATTAACTGGGAATACATGGTATAAGCGATTGTTTGTGTAGCCCTACATGGTAACCATGCTAAAAATGATTCCATCTTTCTTACGGGTTAACAATTTATACAGCTACGACCTTCACTTTTATGTGGATTATTCGATGATTCAAAAATCTTCTCGCCACATTTAGAGAGCAAACTCTCATTCCAGGACAGAGATGCCTCTAAACTCATCCAGCTCCTGTAGCTTTCTCCACACAGGCTTTCAGAGAAAAGGCACTGGGGGTGCTCAGGGGATGTGGGGGGGGGCCTCGTCTGTGTGAATGCCACCAAGAAAGCACGCCAGAAGAGGCCACAGAGCCCTGTATTACCACTTCATGCGTATCTGTGACCGGATACTCCCTAACTCTCCTACCCTCTGTGACCCAAGGGTCCAAGAGATCTGGGGGCTCCCCTGGGGACCCACATAGAAGAGCTCCATCCAGGATCACCTGCTACAGACTTGGAAAGGCAGAAGGGCACCCCAACTCAGTGACGGCACTGCACCCCTTACCAAGGGCCCCAGGTCCCCCCATCTCACGTGAGTGAGTTTAGACTCCCTGCCAGAGATGTCCCTTGGTCCTTCCCTTAATGAACTGGGAGTCACTCTCCCTGCTGGAGCCAACTCTATACACAGTGCTCTGGCCTCACCATCCCAGCAAAGATGATCAAAGTCCCACCGGGCCTGGAGAACCCCTCAGTTTCTCTCTATCTAAGAGGGACACAAACCATATTCAAAGATTTAAGTGGATACTCTACTTTCTGTATTCACTTTTAGTCTGTCACTGTCACTGTCCTCCCATTGTTCATCAATTTGCTCTAGCAGGCCCAGTAACATTGTGAGACTTGTTATTGTGTTTGGCATATCGAATATATCGAATACGTCATGGGTAGCTTGCCAGGCTTTGCCGTGCGGGTGAGATACTCTCAGTAGCTTGCCAGGCTCTCTGAGAGGGGCGGAGGAATCAAACTCGGGTCAGCCATGTTGACCACTTGTAAGGCAAACGCCCTACCTGCTGTGCTATCGCTCCAGCCCACTACCCGTGACATATTCAGTATGCCAAACACAGTAACAGTCTCAAAATGGAGATGTTACTGGGCCTGCTTGCATATTGACAGGAAATTGGGGGGGGGGGGGTATTTATGCGTTTATGAGTATGCATATGTGAGTATTTATTGCTATCGCAAGCGACAGTGCTAATGGGGCCATGTGGTGCCAGGAATTCAACCTGGGACCTCACACATGCGACTTTTGAGTTCTACCACTGGGACCATATCCCTAGGCTCTCTGGAAGCTTTTGTTCATCCCTAGTACAGTTAGCCTGAGAAGGCGTGGCCAAAACACTAGATCAAAGGCTGCTTTTCTGAGTGTCTCAGATCACAGTGATAGTCTTGGGCATTGTTTTATTTTGTTTATATTCGTATTCTTAAAGAATGCTGTTGAGCACCTAGGAGCAGTCAAGGACTCTAATGTTACAAAGTAAGAATCACAGCGTCTTGCTGTGGAATTAACCCCTGTGGAGTGTTCAACCCTTGCAAAGGGTTTAGCGTTTCAAGTACATTGCCAATTTGGAATTGGAAACATGGAATATTTTATAACAAATATTTATTTCTGTGTTGCTCTGAAGAACTGCCATTTTCAAAGAATGGAAATGTCATATATTTAATTCATATAGAATTTAACTGGATGGAGCCTAAGTAGATAAAACATCCAAAGTAGGGACTCTGGGTGACACCACAAGTGCTATCCTGGGGACCCCCTTTATTCCTAAATGCGTATACTGCCAACATCCCACACTCTGTCACAGGTCAAGGGGTATTTTATTTTCTTTAGGTTGGAACTTTTGTAGATGATGGCCCCTGAGAGCAAATCCCCTCAGAGCCAGCCGAGCCCAGCATGCAGTAGGGAAGTCATTGGTTTATGGCTCAGTTTGGGCTTTAGTACTCTCTGGGTGAGGTGTGCAGGCAAAATACTCTCAGTAGCTTGCCAGGGTCTCCGAGAGGCGTGGAGAAATCAAACCCGGGCCTGGCAAGCTCCCCATGACGTATTCGATATGCCAAAAACAGTCACAACAAGTCTCACAATGGAGACGTTACTAGTGCCCGCTCAAGCAAATTGATGAACAATGGGAGGACAGTGCTGTTCCAGTGCTCCAGCGCTGCTGACACATCTCTAGTTCACAGGTCTCAGGAGTCGGCGGCAGCGCCCTGAGGAGCAGGGCACCGGCATAGTGTGTCCGCTTGAAGGGATTCCAGCGACAAACACTTCACCCGGGCCACACGGCCTTTAGGTCCTGGCGTTAAAAGGATGAGCAGCATGGGGGGTGGGGGGGGATGCTGGGACCCATGGTGATGGATGACGGGCACTGGTGGAGGGATGGGTACTTGATCATTGTATAACTGAAACCCAAGCACAAAATTTATAAGCCTATAACTGTACCTCATGGTGTTTCACTAATAAAATAAGAAAAAAAAAAGATGAGCAGCACCCGCAGCCAGAGCTGAGTTACTTCCTGGCTTTCATGTAGAGTAGCACTGTGCTCCTGTTGTTCATCGATTTGCTTGAGCGGGCACCAGTAATGTCTCCATTGTGAGACTTGTTGTTACTGTGTTTGGCATATAGAATACATCACGGGTAGCTTGCAAGGCTTTGCTGTGCGGGCAAGATACTCTCTGTAGCTTGCCGGACTCTCCAAGAGGGGCGGAGGAATCGAACCTGGGGTGGCCATTCGGCCTTGCCCTATGCTATGGCTCCAGCCATTCTATATCTATATAGATATAGCCATATGTATCATTAAAATAATGGAAAGGAATAAGTCTACCCACAGGTTTGGTCGATAGAAAAATGACTTCCTGTGTCCAGATTTTTCTAATGGACACAGAAACACCAAGCCATTCTTTGGCTTTCTCAGTACAGATTGGAAAAGCTTCTGCCCATACACTGAAGCTATCAATAAGAACCAACAGATATTTATACCTTGAACATATGAGCATTTGATTATTTGCATGAGGTCAAGCTGTCAATACTCCTCTGTCTAAGTTCCTTGATGCGGAACAGGTGTTAGGAGAGGAGGCTTAAGATTTCCACTAGGTTCATTCATGGCACAGAAAGCACAGTTCTGAGTTACTTCTACCTTACTTTCTGTTCAGTCCCTTCCCATGGAAGATGGTTTTCACCAGAGTTAAATCATAATCCTTTAGTAATATTTTACTGCATTGGTCCAGGGGTTAGCAATTTTCCTTGCTGGGTAAACCATCCATCAACTTCCTTTTGGAAACCTCGTTCCAATACCCATTGTTCCTCTTCTGCACAGCATTGTGGCTTAGAAGAAATATTGTCTGGCAGCACAGTGATAGGGCTTTTGCCTTGCATGAGGCCGACCAGTCGACCCGGGTTCGATTCCTCCACCCCTCTCACGAGAGCCTGGCAAGCTACTGAGAGTATCTCGCCCGCACGGCAAAGCTTGGTGAGCTACCCGTGACGTATTTGACATGCCAAATACAGTAAAAACAAGTCTCACAATGGAGATGTTACTGGGTCCTCTCAAGCAAATCGATGAACAACAGTAGGACAGTGACAGTGACAGATTAATCCCATGATGCAACAAAGATTAAGATCTGTTAAAACCACTGTCCCAACTTTTGTGACGTTCAAAACACATTCATATCCATTCCTCATCACTTTCATAATAGTACATTTTGTTTGGGGGCTACCCTCAGCATTTGCTAGGCGCTAACTCTGGCTCTGTGCTCAGGAGAGACCCCAGCTAGTGCTGGGAGAACCATATGTATTGTCTGGGATTCGAACCTGGATCTCTGGCCCCTGGTTCTATTCTAATCCTGTACGGTGCGTACTGTCACCACCCCCGTTTGCCCCATGCATGCCCTGGATGGCCCCATACCACACAGCTGTGGTCATGAGCAGACTCGATCCCAGAGTGGGAGGCCCACAGGGAGGAAAGTCTTTCCACCAGAGCAGAGCTGAATTCAGGGCACTGAGTCAAAGAAAAGAACTCGAGAGCATTGAGCAGAAGGGGTGGCCAAGGGCTTGGGCAGTGATTCTCACGGCGGGAAGGCAGAGCAATAATCTGGTATCAGCAGCACCTCACAGACGGGGTCACAAGACAGTCCTCAGGCGAAGGGTGCATATTTGCTGCTCTCTGGAGGGTGCTGCTTTGGGGGGTGCTATCTGTTTGCGACTCAGGTGGATGTAGACAGAAACTAGAATTTTTTTAAAAGAATTAGAAAAGAAGACAAAAAAAACCTAGACAACTCCTCTGCATATGACAAAATGTACACGGGTACAGATCGATGGTACAATTGATTACAACAGGCCCTGTGACAACCAGTGGTGACAGTTGGGTCTAACGAACTGTCGTCTTTCTCAGGCAGTACCTGACAGGATTATGCCGCAGCTCCAAACACTTCCAGCTGGGTTTTTCTCCAGGTTCTAAAAATATCCCGCCGAATTCATCTATACCTTAGTTGTGCTAATACTGTGAGCCAAGATCCCACAGATCGATCTACTGGTTAAAAAAAAAAAAAAAACCTGTGACCCAGGGAGGGTCGTTAACCCTTTGGTTACTCACAGGGCCATGCTGAAACAAAGACATCCTGGAAGCGGTCAGTCTCGGTGGCTGTTGTTCACCACGTGGACATTTTCATGGCTGTCACACTGCTATGACACGTGGAGGGCACGCCACCATTGTTCCTGGCACGTGGGGACTGTGACCTAATCACGTCTTCAATACAACCCCAGTGGGTCTCTGGGCATGTTTTTTTTCCCCCTCAGGTTTCTGTTTATGCTCACAGTGTGCACAGTGTGGTATGAATGAGCTGGAGTGCTTGAGGCCTGGGGGGGGGGGGGGGGGGGGGGATTAGCAGCTGCAGGATGGGAGGGCGCCTATTTAGCGGCTGTCTCACTGCTCACCACAGCCTTTTCTCACCATTCTCCAAAGGGATAACAGTGCCGTCAAATCCAAACCCGAGATGTGAGAATCAGGTCGAGTCTGTCTTTCTCCATCTGGCTCATTTCACTAAGCCTCGGACCCTCTAGGTCTAGCTGCATGGCTGCAAGTGGCAGGGCTTCATGCTATACATCACCTTACAATGCAGTGTTACTTCAATAAAAAGAAATAAACGAAACCTGAAGTGAAAATTCAGCATGCCTCTGGGTGCTACAGGCATACCACCCTAACAACAGCCTTGGTTTGGGAACCAGATTCACACAATGAACCTAGAGTCAATAATTTCTCTTCTGTGCAGTAATTCTCTCTCTCTCTTTCTCTCTCTCTCCCTCTCTCCCCCCTCTCTGTCTCCCTCTCTCTTTCTCCCTCTCTCTCTCCTTCTCTCTCTTTCTCTCCCTCTCCCTCTCTCCCTCCCTTTCTCCCCTCTTTATGAAAAAAAAAAAGAACTCAATATCTTCATCTCATTTCCTTGAATCAGCATTCCCAGGAGGAATACCAAACTGACATCTTCAGGAACCAAGACTGTGCCTCACCCCATGGTAACTCAGTTTCCACAGCAGGGATGGGGATATGGCTAAGCAATAAAAATACCTTCCTGACATGTGAAAGGCTTTGGGTTCAATCCCCAACACTGTCCGTATAAAACCAAAACTGTAGCACTGTCCTCCCGTTGTTCATCAATTTGCTCGAGTGGGCCCAGTAACATCTCCATTGTGACAATTGTTACTGTGTTTGGCATATCGAAATACGTCATGGGTAGCTTGCCAAGCTTTGCTGTGAGGGAGAGATACTCTCGGTAACTTGTCTGGCTCTCCAAGAGGGCGGAGAAATCGAACTTGGATTGGCCGCATGCAAGGCAAACGCCTTACCCACTGTGCTATCACTCCAGCCCATATATATAATAAAACCAAAACAGATTCTAAAATCCAGCTCGGAGCACCCAGGAGGACCACCTGAGATGCCCAGAGGGCCCAGGGCCGAGGCTCCCTCACTGTCTTCTGCGGGTTGTTCTTCCCCTGGACACTGGGGAGATAAGTGACTGCCCTTATAACGTGGGACTATGAATCTCTGCAGACCTCTTGTGAAGAGTTTGTGTGAGCAAGCGGGGAGATGCTGCAACAGGTCGGGGGAACTGTTCTGAGACTGCGTGCACTGAAATTCGGACCATGCCTCACTCCAACCTTCTGTTGAATGGTCTTAACTTCTTTTGTGCCTCAGTTTCTTTCACTGTAAAAGGGAGATGGCCACAAAACCTTCAGAGTCACTGCAAAAAGCAAATGAGTCTTTGTGTGCAACTTCTTTAGAATATTTGCCGTGCAATGTGTTCTTTGGAGGAAGGGGGCTGGTGGTGGGCATTTCCTCCCAGGCATCAGGACCTCTCTTCCTTCTTATCCCCAGAATAGCAGTTCACCAGATTCTCTCAGTGAGTGGTCCACAGCTCTCTGCTGCCCCCTGCCGACAGCTGGTTGCTAGCACTTGTGTCTTGTGGCTCTCCTGGCTTCAGATACCGCTGTCTTTTCTACCAGAAGTCTCAAACACCCAGGTTTGCAATGTGAGTCATTACTCTAAATTCTCATGCTTTGGCGCCATGGTTTCTGTTTTTCCTCCACCTGGCATGGCCTCTCTCCCTCCACAATGACCTGTCATACCTCCATGACATTCAATGACACTCCTTTAGCCATTCTACTTCCCACTCCTCCCCAGGAAATGGTCCTCCTAGAGCACAAGACACATGCCTACCACATTCTTCTGTCATTAGTGCTCAACGTGTGTAAGCCACTTCTTACTGTTAAATCAGAAGGATGTCTTCAGTTGTTCCTGTCTGCTGGGAAACACCCAAAAGTCACCAGGATTTCATCTGTATCAAAACAGGCTCAGCCAACACTTGCGCAAAGAATGAGGTTTCACTGTGGATCCGCTACTCTGTGCCATGTCGCTTCTCTGATTAATCTTCACCTTCACGACTGCGGGACCGTCTCACTTGCACCCTCACACCCATTCTGGTTTCCTCTCCAACCTACCCTTCACAATGCAACCTGAGTGTTCGTCTGGAGTGAAAAATTGATTGTGTGGGCATGTCCCAGCCTCTTGTTCTTTCAAATGCTTCTCACCACTTCGGCAAAGGATCTGAAGTCCCTCTTGGGGCCATGAACTGCCAACCCTTCTCCCCCCTTCTCTGACCTGCACACCTACGGTCCTTCTTTTGGATCCTACAACAGTCAACACTCTCCTGCATCAACCAATCTTCTCGAGCTGTAGACCCTGCCTGAAATTCTCTTTCCTGCCTAGTACCTTCCAATCCATCTTCACATCTTCTAGAATAACTTACTTCCCTGGAAAGCCTTTCCTATATCCGTTTTGTCTGAGCATGCTCTCATAGCAAGTGTATTTTTCGAACAACAAAAACAAAACAACTCATCATGATTTTAAATTCGTCTGAAGTCATGTGAGTAGCACCTCTCTTCCCTGTAGGGTTATATGTCCCATGAAGAGAAGCTGTTCTGGGGGCTGAAGCGATAGCACAGCGGGTAGGGCATTTGCCTTACACGCGGCCGACCTTGGTTCGATTCCCAACATCCCATATGGTCCCCTGAGCACTGCCAGGAGTAATTCCTGAGTGAATGAGGCAGGAATAATCCCTGTACATTGCTGAGTGTGACCCAAAAAGAAAAAAAAGAGAGAGAAGCTCCTCTGCCTCTCTTCTGCACCCCTGAATTTCCAGTTTATAACCTAATGCCACCCACAGTAGACTCCTAACACACATCACATCAGGTAATGACTGAACAAATCAAAGTTGTGTGAAACAGAACTTTGGCTAGAGTGTGAAGACAGAGCCTTTTATTTGTTTATTCCATTTCTATTTGTCATGGGTCATTTGATTTTAGAAAGACAGATAAGTAATAGACCTTAAGAACCTCTCTGAAACACTTTCAACTAGGAAACCAGAAAGATTCTTCTATCTCATAAACAAACTTGAGAGCTTTGGAGGAAAAGGTGTGCAATGGGCAGGGGTTTGAATTAGGACACAGAAAAAAAGCATTAACCACATTTTAAATCACAATACCGGGGCTGGAGCTATAGTACAGTGGGTAAGGCCTTGTACGCAGCTGACCCAGGTTCGATCCCCAGCATCCCATATGGTCCCCCGAGCACAACCAGGAGTAATTCCTGAGTGCAGAGCTAGGAGTAACCCCTGTGCATTATCAGGTGTGACCCAAAAAGAAAAAAAAAATCACACTATCTCAATTTTTTTTTCATTAGAAACAAGAAAAAACTCTTCCACCTCTTACCTTCAGTGCTCATATCGGGGGTTGGCATCCAGATGTAAACCAAGCCTTCCTCCTTATACAGTTTCACCAGAGTGTCTGGACTCATGCGTTCCTGGTAGCGATTACAGCCGCAGGAATTCTGCAGAATATCCGCCTCAGTCTGGAAATTCATTACAGCTGTAATCCCCAACTCATGCTTCAGTCTGATGGTCACATGCTCCACTTGGCGGGGACAGCTGCCCAGCCAGAGATTGTGCAGAATTCTAATAAGAACACATGGAGTCAACTATTATTATAATTTGAGATGTGAGGAATGGCATAAAAAAATTTTGTATTAAAATGCAAATAACCTTTAAATCTGGCCCCGGGAAAGTTGTATATGAGCGTGAAGGCCTGGAGATAGGTGGAAAGCTGAGAGAGCTAGGACGCATGCCCAGCAAGCACAAGGTCCGGAGCTCGGTGCCCAGAACTTATGGGCTCCCAAATGCCATAATATATGGCCCTTGTGTGGTTCTAGTGGCTTCCAGCACGACTGGGCCTTGGCAGCAATGCATCACCCAACCCTAATGCTGAACTGTCCAACATGCAAAACTGGGTTGAGTATTGTAGTCTCATAAGCCCCAGGCCCCCCCACCCCGGGTCCACTACTTGGGTGCCCAACCTACCCCCAAATAGAAAAGGACATGAGAGCCATCCTTGTTATTCAGGGGGGAAAGAGACCCCGGCACTGTTGTTTGGGGGAAAGCCATTCAGGTAACTGGAGCAGGCACAAATAGCAAAATCAAAGAGCATGGTCAACTAAATCCATAAGTGCATACATATATGGTTCAACATTAAGAAATCCAAAGCTGTATTCCAAATACAAATTAAAGGCATAATTATGACAGTTAATACAGTCTAGAAATATTTTGCTCAAATTCAAATGATTATTCCTCCTTAGAACCTTGTACAGCCCTGTTCTCCCATTGTTCACTGATTTGCTCAAGCGGGCCCAGTAACATCTCCATCATGAGACTTGTTGTTACTGTGTTTGGCATATCGAATACGTCACGGGGAGCTTGCCAGGCTTTGCCGTGTGGGCGAGATACTCTCGGTAGCTTGCCGGGCTCTCCGAGAGGGTTAGAGGAATCAAACCCGGCTCAGCTGGGCTGGCTGTGCACAAGGCAAACGCTCTACAGCTGTGCTATCACTCCAGCCCAGAACCTTATATAAAATTTCAAATAGCATGAGATCTTTTATTTATTGACTGGTTGGGGGGTGGGGGGTGGTACAGCCAGCAGTGCACGAGGATTACTCTGAGATTTTCACTCAGGGACCAATCCTGGTAATGCTCAGGGAACCATAAAACGTGCCAAGGATGGAACCTAGGTTGGCTGTATGCAAGGCAAGTGCCTCACCTGCTGTGCTATCTCTCTGGCCCCCTGCACAGACCTTTAAGACATGTTGAATACCAAAAACTAACAGGCAACAATCTCCTTTCAATTAAAATCAAAGTCAAAAGTATTTCATGAGAACTCAACAATGCTCTATGCTCATCAAAGGCTCTAAGGTAAAAAGAAATAATCTGTAAAAAAGAGAAATTATTATTTCTATACTTCAAGTATAGAAATATCACTGGAGCGATAGCACAGCGGTAGGGCGTTTGCCTTGCATGCAGCCAACATGGCCGACCCGAGTTCAATTCTTCCGCCCCTCTCGGAGAGCCCGGCAAGCTACCGAGAGTATCTCGCCCACACGGCAGAGCCTGGCAAGCCCCCCGTGAGGTATTCGATATGCCAGACACAGTAACAACAAAGTCTCCAATGGAGACGTTACTGGGCCCGTTCGAGCAAATCGATGATCAACGAGAGGGCCTTTACTTTTACTTTACTTCAAGTATGAGTCACATACCTAAGTTTTTCTAATGCTGGACCCACCCTCAAGAGTTTATGATTTACAATCAGTTCTCAGGTTCTGATTTACAATCAGTTCTCACTTACAGCCAAAAACCTATGAAATATTCCTCAGAAATCCATATACCAAAAGCCACATAAAGTTTAAAAGTATTAGGAATCAGGGAACTGGATAAGGAAAAATACATAAAAAATCAAATAGCCAGATAGACATGAAGGGTGTGGAATGAGGGGTGAAGGGTGGCATCACATTCAAAAATAACAAAAAAAAACTGTAAAATATCTAGGAATCCATATAAAAAGAAAAATATTTTTTTAATTCTTACTGAGTGCACCATGATTTAGAAGTTATTCATAGTTCAGTTTCAAGCATACAATTTCCCAACACCAATCCTATTGACAATTTCAACTTTCCTCCACCAATGTCCCCAGTTTCCTTCCCTCACCCAAGTCTGCTTCCTTGACAGACACATTTTTAAGTTTGATTATTGTTGTTTGGAGCTCATGCTTTTAGTTTTGTTGTATCTGTGGTTCAGATATAGATATGCCACATCTTTGCTTGCTGACTATATCTTTATAGTATAATTTCAAGTTATGTACCAGATACCTCCCAATTTATTACTCAATATGGCTTCAGATATTTGAAGTATTTTAAGATATTGCACAAACTTTGTTATTTACTTTTTAAAATCCTTTAAGAATGCCATCAGATGGGGGTATGGTGCCGCCAGCAGGTCAACCTATACCTGTGGGGTGAGTGCATCAGCAGCCTAAAGGTGCCTTCAGACTTTCAGATACCAAAATTGCTGCTGTGCCTTTGGCCAGACCTCAACAACTTGGGGGAAAGTTTACCAAGAAATTAAATGGCCAAATGTTAGGTATGTGGGAGAAACACCCACAAACCCCCTCCAGCTCAGCTATATAAGCTCATTTATTGGCCTTATTTCAGAGACTTATAAGTCTCAAAAAAATATCAAAAGACCTCTCTCTGGGCACGCGCAGCTAGAAACAGCCCCTAGAGAGCCGGTTTTCAACCCCTCATCTGCGTGGGACGGGCACAGAGGCCCAGCTCTGGGCAACAAAGCTGAACGGCTCCAATTCCAACAGGTACAGCCCGCCCCCAAGGGCCTGGGTCCCTCTCTGGGCACGCGCAGCTAGAAACAGCCCCTAGACAGCCGGTTTTCAACCCCTGATCTGCGTGGGACGGGCACAGAGGCCCAGCTCTGGGCAACAAAGCTGAACGGCTCCAATTCCAACAGGTACAGCCCGCCCCCAAGGGCCTGGGTCCCTCTCTGGGCACGCGCAGCTAGAAACAGCCCCTAGACAGCCGGTTTTCAACCCCTGATCTGCGTGGGATGGGCACAGAGGCCCAGCTCTGGGCAACAAAGCTGAACGGCTCCAATTCCAACAGGTACAGCCCGCCCCCAAGGGCCTGGGTCCCTCTCTGGGCACGCGCAGCTAGAAACAGCCCCTAGACAGCCGGTTTTCAACCCCTGATCTGTGTGGGACGGGCACAGAGGCCCAGCTCTGGGCAACAAAGCTGAACGGCTCCAATTTCAACAGGTACAGCCCGCCCCCAAGGGCCTGGGTCCCTCTCTGGGCACGCGCAGCTAGAAACAGCCCCTAGACAGCCGGTTTTCAACCCCTGATCTGCGTGGGACGGGCACAGAGGCCCAGCTCTGGGCAACAAAGCTGAACGGCTCCAATTCCAACAGGTACAGCCCGCCCCCAAGGGCCTGGGTCCCTCTCTGGGCACGTGCAGCTAGAAACAGCCCCTAGACAGCCGGTTTTCAACCCCTGATCTGCGTGGGACGGGCACAGAGGCCCAGCTCTGGGCAACAAAGCTGAACGGCTCCAATTCCAACAGGTACAGCCCGCCCCCAAGGGCCTGGGTCCCTCTCTGGGCACACGCAGCTAGAAACAGCCCATAGACAGCCGGTTTTCAACCCTTGATCTGCGTGGGACGGGCACAGAGGCCCAGCTCTGGGCAACAAAGCTGAACGGCTCCAATTCCAACAGGTACAGCCCGCCCCCAAGGGCCTGGGTCCCTCTCTGGGCACGCGCAGCTAGAAACAGCCCCTAGACAGCCGGTTTTCAACCCCTCATCTGCGTGGGACGGGCACAGAGGCCCAGCTCTGGGCAACAAAGCTGAACAGCTCCAATTCCAACAGGTACAGCCCGCCCCCAAGGGCCTGGGTCCCTCTCTGGGCACGCGCAGCTAGAAACAGCCCCTAGACAGCCGGTTTTCAACCCCTGATCTGCGTGGGACGGGCACAGAGGCCCAGCTCTGGGCAACAAAGCTGAACGGCTCCAATTCCAACAGGTACAGCCCGCTCCCAAGGGCCTGGGTCCCTCTCTGGGCACGCGCAGCTAGAAACAGCCCCTAGACAGCTGGTTTTCAACCCCTGATCTGTGTGGGACGGGCACAGAGGCCCAGCTCTGGGCAACAAAGCTGAACGACTCCAATTCCAACAGGTACAGCCCGCCCCCAAGGGCCTGGGTCCCTCTCTGGGCACGCGCAGCTAGAAACAGCCCCTAGACAGCCGGTTTTCAACCCCTGATCTGCGTGGGACGGGCACAGAGGCCCAGCTCTGGGTAACAAAGCTGAACGGCTCCAATTCCAACAGGTACAGCCCGCCCCCAAGGGCCTGGGTCCCTCTCTGGGCACGCGCAGCTAGAAACAGCCCCTAGACAGCCGGTTTTCAACCCCTGATCTGCGTGGGACGGGCACAGAGGCCCAGCTCTGGGCAACAAAGCTGAACGGCTCCAATTACAACAGGTACAGCCCGCCCCCAAGGGCCTGGGTCCCTCTCTGGGCACGCGCAGCTAGAAACAGCCCCTAGACAGCTGGTTTTCAACCCCTGATCTGCGTGGGACGGGCACAGAGGCCCAGCTCTGGGCAACAAAGCTGAACGGCTCCAATTCCAACAGGTACAGCCCGCCCCCAAGGGCCTGGGTCCCTCTCTGGGCACGCGCAGCTAGAAACAGCCCCTAGACAGCCGGTTTTCAACCCCTGATCTGCGTGGGATGGGCACAGAGGCCCAGCTCTGGGCAACAAAGCTGAACGGCTCCAATTCCAACAGGTACAGCCCGCCCCCAAGGGCCTGGGTCCCTCTCTGGGCACGCGCAGCTAGAAACAGCCCCTAGACAGCCGGTTTTCAACCCCTGATCTACGTGGGACGGGCACAGAGGCCCAGCTCTTGGCAACAAAGCTGAACGGCTCCAATTCCAAACAGGAGACGTTCCCAACTCCTCGCCCAGTGCCAGGGACTCTTTCCGGAGCCGAGGCCGCTGATGCGGCCGCGAAATGTTTTCCCACTCCACATGCCATAGGAACCATAAGCTAACTTCTTAGATGGAACCTTCTCTAT